CCACATAACTGATCCTCCATCATGTTAGTGGCCCACATAACTGATCCTCCATCATGTTAGTGGCCCACATAACTGATCCTCCCTCATGTTAGTGACCCACATAACTGATCCTCCCTCATGTTAGTGACCCACATAACTGATCGTCCATCATGTTAGTGGCCCACATACCTGATCCTCCCTCATGTTAGTGGCCCACATAACTGATCCTCCCTCATGTTAGTGACCCACATAACTGAAAGTCCATCATGTTAGTGGCCCACATAACTGATCCTCCCTCAAGTTAGTGACCCACATAACTGATCGTCCATCATGTTAGTAGCCCACATAACTGATCCTCCCTCATGTTAGCGGCCCACATAACTGATCCTCCCTCATGTTAGTGACCCACATAACTGATCCTCCCTCATGTTAGTGGCCCACATAACTGATCCTCCATCATGTTAGTGACCCACATAACTGATCCTCCCTCATGTTAGTGGCCCACATAACTGATCGTCCATCATGTTAGTAGCCCACATAACTGATCCTTCCTCATGTTAGTGGCCCATATAACTGATCCTCCCTCATGTTAGAGACCAACATAACTGATCCTTCCTCATATTAGTGGCCCACAAAACAGATCCTCCCTCATGTTAGTGGCCCACATAACTGATCCTCCCTCATGTTAGTGACCCACATAACTGATCCCCCCCTCATGTTAATGGCCCACATAACTGATCCTCCCTCATGTTAGTGGCCCACATAACTGATTCCCCCTCATGTTAGTGGCTCACATAACTGATCCTTCCTCATGTTAGTGGCCCAAATAACTGATCCTCCCTCATGTTAGTGGCCCACATAACTGATCCTCCCTCATGTTAGTGGCCCACATAACTGATCCTCCCTCATGTTAGTGGCCCACATAACTGACCACACTTCATGTAAGTGGCCCACATATAATGGTCAGACCATATCCCAGTAATGAAGAGTCAGGTGGTGGCGTCTACTGGGACGGACATATTCTGAATCAACATATGCACATGGTAGAGTAATGTCCGTTGAAGTGCTTATAAATATTCTGTAGTATAAACTATGCTATTATAAACGATCTAATTCCTCTTGGTGAGTTGCTGTGGGTGACGGCACCAGTTTACTGCTTGGTCTTTGCCAGTCGTTGGAACACCTCGGAACCCAAATAGAATTGCAATGCTCCATGAGAGTTGGTTCATTCAGTTATGAAACTTGGGACAGTTGGAGGCTGTGTGTTACCTAATGTTTTTGGAAATGTTTACTTCTGTAATGTAACTATTTTCCTTCTTTGTTTTTTCACTCTCTTTCCCTTCGTAAGGGTTAACGCTTTCTTAAACCTGGATATACATAACAAATAGTACAAAGGGGTGAAGTGACATTAATAATATAGTACAGTTTCTAAAAAAAAAAAATATCTGATCTTAGTCCAGCTTTAGTCTCGTTTTCCTAAATATTAGCCCCGGGGAGTGAGTGCCCCGCCCCATGACGTCATTATCCACTATCTTCCAGGAACCGTCATCACCTCGTATGCCGCAACACTATTCTTTTCACACTCTTCCTCGTTCACTATACATATATATATATATATATATATATATATATATATATATATATATATATATATATATATATATATATATATATATATACATACTGTATATATATATATATATATATTTTTTTTTTTTATAAACTGCCTTCTTCCATTTTATTTCCAAGTGTGTGTGATGAATCTCGCGATTTTTTTTTTCTTAGGAAACAATAGTTTACACAATACTAGGATACTTTTCTTCAATGACGCTTCTCGCAAACGACCTAGTACCCATGTTTCTCTGGTAGGACTCATCCCGCACAGATATGTCTTTCTTTCACTACCTTATTCACAATGTCATCGGTCAAGAAATGATGCAGATGTTCAATGGGTTGTGCATTATCAATAATTATATTTCTAGGTCACACATACACACACACACACACTTCATGGCTTAAAATTTAGACCAATTTTCAATATCCTCTGATAGATTACAAGTGCGCGGGAAGATTGCAGAATGGAATTACTCCCTTCATTATCACTGATCACTACAATTTCCGGTTACCTGACACCTTAAAATCACTACTGCTATCTGTATCTTTCATTCTCTAGAACTAATTATCAATATACCTCCAAACACTCGCATTAAAACACGATAAAACACTCGAGCTTCAGACTTATCACGGACCACACACCACCGAAAACAACAAACTAATATATGTAAAGAAAAATATTAACCCAATGATCAATAACTTCATGAATAAGTGATATAATCTGGCAACTCTCCTATAATATTAATTCTTATGTTTAATTATTCCTACGAGGTTAACAATAGCTAATTAACAACCAAATAAATTGGCACATCTCAAGAATGTAGATAAACTATAAATAATATTCAAAATGTGGTTCAGCATAAATTAGTATAAACCCCAAAATTAACTCATCTAATTAATTTAGAAAGTTAAGGAAAGCAAATTATCTATAACAAGGAATTAGACCAAAGACTATCTTATATAGTCTTTGAATTAGACAAACTCGACCAATTATACCACCTCACGGACAATAATATTAACATATATTATAAATATAGTAACAATGTCCTCCACGGAAATAGGAAAAAAGAATTACATACCAATATTATAGATACAGATGCCAATAACTAAGAATAAAGAAGAGAAACAAAAGACAGAGAAAAAACAAAAACAACATCAGCTGGCAAGAGGAGAAGGACCTATTGCCTCAAGATGCCTCCCAAACGACAGGTAAACTGCTATTTTGAATCATTACATCATTATAAACTACGTCATAGAGTGTATTTATTGCTATTTTTTATGTATGCCAAAGTATTTATCATTTAATATAGCCAGAAGGTAGAAATTTCAGCGAGAGATGAGGGTCAGGGCTGGGCAGTCCCATTTACACTCAACCCTTATGCCTTTTTGCCTTTGGACAATAGAGGAAAAGCTTTGTACCTGAACTGGCTACTGTACCTGATGTGGTTATGTTATGGCTTTTTATAAACATTGCAAGTGCACACAGTAGCTCATACAAATTGAACAAGATTGAACAGGTATCTGCCATATTTGAGTGTACATATAAAGCTTAATGGTTCACTCAGTTATGTAACTTGGGACAGTTGGAGGCTGTGTGTTACCTAATGTTTCTGGAAATTTTACTTGTGTAATGTAAATATTTTACTTCTTTGTTTTTTCACTCCTTTTCTCTTCGCAACAAAAAGTATCGGTGCATACTGTAGTGTGAACAATTTGAGACCAGTGACGATAGGTATTGGGAAAGGCGAGTTGTTCCAGCCGTATGTTGGCAGCCCTGTAATCCTGCTGAGCTGCTACTATGGCCTGGTCAAGTGAAACAAACCGTTATAAATGAGGTCGGGAAGTGATAAATAGACAGTATGAAATATGAGGAGCTCCCTGTTAACAAAATTATTTGTGATACTTGTGAATATTGCCACATTAATTTATGCTACCAAATAAACCACTCAACCTGGTCATCCTGAGGGGTGGTGCAGCGTGGACGGCCGCTCCGAGACCTGTCGTCTGTAGCACCAGTTTCGAGGTATCGCCGAATCCATCGAATCCATCGTGCAGCGGTGTTCCTGTGGACACCAACCCGCCGGCTAATATCTGTGACGCCAAACCCTTCGTTATGAAGGGCAATGATAGCTCCTCTTGTTCCCTCTGTAGTGGAGCGGCATAGCTACAATTTTCACAACAATTGTGCATTTAATGATGAAAGCACCAAATTTGGCACAGCGATGGAGTAATGATATATAAACATTTACAGATATGGAACCATTCGATACTGGATTTGAGTGGCCGCTATAAATCAGGGGCGGATCCAGGAAAAAAATTCAGGTTTCACCACGTTACTGTCTTGGTCCTGTGAGACCGTCAAATACTGCGAAGCATAAAGAAATAATAGGCTATAGGAAGAAAGAAAAGGGGGTTCAGAGGCATTCGATGAACCCATAATACGTCAACTGGCTGAATTTGAATCATCGCAGAAAGCTGAGCAAACCAAGGCTAACTTCCACCATCATGAGCAAACCAACACGACGCAGGACAAGTTTCTTCAGGATGTGAAAGCACTTACACTTGTCATAGAAGAAATGGGAAACCCATTTGAAGAAGAAATTGCTGACATAATGGTTCTTCATACAAAGGAAATCTTGTGTCCAAAAGCCGTGATGAGTGTGCAAAATGTTGTCAAGCTTGGACGAGAACAATTCCATTCATATGTAAGAGAATGCCTTGAAGACATGTATGTTAATTTTCCAGTGTAATGCGTTTACTTGTCTTTTTCATTGTAATAAACTTCGAAAACTATCACAAATGATTTTCGTAACCCGGATTATGTATATTGATGCATAGGAATGAAATATGCAACAGTAAAAACAGAAATACATAGTTTAGCGTATCCTGAACGGCGGCCATCTTGAAATTCAAAATGGTGCCCACAGAGGTTGAGTTTCTAGTGGTTCCATATCTGAAAATATTCACCATGTATTACTCAATATCTGTGCCAAAGTTAATGCTTTCTTCATAAAATGCACAATTGTTTGGCTTTGCCCCTGTACTACTGAGGTTTCCATGTCGTCTGGCATGTGTAGATCTCTACTGCTTCATATTGCTTCTGTTTTATACCCACGTTCACCGAGACCGAACCCTAGCTCATCATTCAGTCGACACAAAGTAACAATCCGAAAAGAGGAAACAAAGAACACTGATTGTCAGCCATATGGCAACACCTAGTGGAGGGGGGGGAGGGTTATGAGGATACACTTTCCATCCCTCCCGACATATCACAGTGTATACGTATCGTTTCGGAACTCGTTGATCTCACCCTGCACCGATATTTTTTGGTGCGAGTGTACATAACAAGAGTCCAAAAGGTGAAGTGATATTAATAATATATTACAGTTTCCAAAAAAAATTCTGTGGTCTTAGTCCAGCCTTCGTCTCAGCGGAGGAGAACCTGGCGCGTATATAAGGGAGCGAGGTCCAGGGAGTCACACTTGGCCTGACAACCTCATCTCCTACACAGCTCCCCCAACGCCTCCTGCCATCCATAATGGTCAGTGACAACATGACTTTTGTCATGTATTTTGTTTTACTTGTGTCCTGTTTTAGTCATCCATCAAGTTATAATTGTACTTGAGGTAATGTAAGGTGTACCCACAGCTGCGCCTGTTGGTAGTGATGACCGTCGTGACGGTGGCCCTTGGCAGTAGCATCATCCCTAACACTCCCAGCTGTGTCTTCTGGTGCAATTACCCAAATGATGTCAACGCCGGTGCCTCCTACTGCTGCATTAATTCAAACAATAACATTATCGAAAATACAAATCCACGTCAGTGTAAATTACTGTTTTTATACATTGGTACATGATTATATAACTTGATGAATAACATATTTCTGAAATATACTTATTTAGAACATATTTTATAACTTTTCATTATTTTCTTCCTTTAGAGGGAAACCCTGGCAGATGTATAAAGCATTCCTTCTGCGCCAGGTTCGAGAGCAAACCGGTCGCTCCTATCGTAAGTTTACTATGACTTTATTTAACTTTATTTCATCATTTTTATGAAACTTTTCTATAAAATTTACTAATTTTATTAAGCTTAGCGTCACTCTATTTTAATCTAACAAGTTTTCTTAAGAATAAACCCAAAAGGGCACCAAATTTATCTGAAAAAAAAATTCAATGTCATATTTAACATTAAGTTGTTTCTTGTTTTACATAAAATGTGAAGATTATCACGAATATTTTATCTTAAATATAGTTATTGTTCAGTAAGTGAATGGTAAATATTACAATATTCTAATGTATCGTTCTCACACCTGAACAGAGATGTGGTCATGATGACTATTGTCCCAACAACGAAAAATGCTGCTATGACGCCTGTCTGGAGCACCACACCTGCAAGGCTCCACTTCCCCATTAACTCCTTGCACAACATCACACCGACTGTTCTACCCGCTGCCCATCTCGGCGTCACACCTAAAACACTGACCATATAAACAACACCAATACGAGCACTCAGCAGCACCAGACGTACCTCCCCGCCCAGTAATGCAGTTCTCAAGAAAGTTCTTTTGGGGCAGAAGCGCGAGGCAAGAAGGAACAATTTAGTTGTCTCGAAATGGAACTTGTAAGTGGAACGTGATCCACTTGAATACCACCAAATGTTACACTTGTGTTATATGAACTGCGTATTATTATTGCTGTTATTATGTTCTAGTGATGCTCTTCAAGTTTGTTGTATTTGCTTCATGTTCATTAGAGAGAAGTTAATCTTCTTACAATAAAGTTGTTGCCGTCAGTTCAAAAGTTTCAATTCCACGAACACATATTATGAGCGGCATTGTATCATGAAATCAATGTTATGGGTGGGAGTTGTAGATCAGCTGATAAGGTAACAACAAAACACGACTGGTTGTGTCCAGGCTTGTGTCCAGACATGTGTCCAGGTTTATGTCCAGGCTGCGGATTAATACCTTACCAGGACACACTACTCCCACTTAATTTCTAAAACATTTATTAACAGGTGCAACAACCATAACGCTACGGGTTCCTCCTACAGGTTGATGACAATGTTGCGGCATTAATAAATTAACTGGTTAACTAGTACACCTGGGACAATAACCTGCTGTTTTTACCTGTACGTATTGATCCCATTGTCTGTATGTCACCAAGCATGATTCCATTTACACATTTATCTCTCAACAGCTATATATTTGTAATAGCTTCCAGACAGAGTCGGTTGTTTCTCACGCAACATATGTTTATAACACCTAGTGCCTGAACATTACTACACCACGTCAGGTCCCTCATAACACCATCTGTGAGGGAATTACTACACCACGTGATGCGCCTCATAACACCATCTGTGAGGGAATTATTACACCACGTCAGGTCCCTCATAACACCATCTGTGAGGGAATTACTACACCACGTCAGGTCCCTCATAACACCATCTGTGAGGGAATTACTACACCTCGTCAGGTCCCTCATAACACCATCTGTGAGGGAATTACTACACCACATCAGGTCCCTCATAACACCATCTGTGAGGGAATTACTACACCACGTGAAGCCCCTCATAACACCATCTGTGAGGGAATTACTACACCACGTCAGGTCCCTCATAACACCATCTGAGAGGGAATTACTACACCACGTGATGCGCCTCATAACACCACCTGTGAGGAAATTACTAAACCACGTCAAGCCCCTGTTAACACCATCTGTGAGGGAATTACTACACCACGTCAAGCCCCTCGTAACACCATCTGTGAGGGAGTTACTACACTACGTGTCTGCCGTTCAACACCTCAGCGCACAAGATCTACAATACGTGACCTTCACTGTAAACATCAATCTGTATGTTCACTGTTTGTTCCTTTACCATTCTCTAACGCACGCTTTTGTTAAACCAACAATGTATGTAATAAGTCATTAATATCGAATGTATATTTTCAGCCTTCGGGCTGCAGAACTTTTTCAATAAACCGTTAATTATTATTATGATTATTATTATTATTATTATTATTATTATTATTATTATTATTATTATTATTATTATTAATATTATTATTATTATTATTATTTCATCACATCACTTGTACAGTATTACCAGAAATAATAACTGTTGCATCAAGTCAAAAAATCAACCTTAGTATATTTTTAACAATTGTGAAGAATTAAGCTAATAATAATAATAATAATAATAATAATAATAATAATAATAATAATAATTAATAATAATAATAATAATAATAATAATAATAATAATAATAATAATAATAAATGATAATAATAATACTGATAATAATAATACTGATAATAAATAACCACATACAGTATAGTTATCTTATAAGGTACCGGGAAGTGTCCAATAAAAACAACAGACGATGAGTGTCCTGACCGGGAGGTGAAGGCTTAAGAAGTGAAGTAACTACAAATGTCCTATAGCTACATATAACTGATCCTCCATCATGTTAGTGGCCCACATAACTGATCCCCCCTCATATTAGTGGCCCACATAACTGATCCTCCCTCAAGTTAGTGGCCCACATAACTAATCCTCCCTCATGTTAGTGGCCCACATAACTGATCCTCCCTCATGTTAGTGGCCCAAATAACTGATCCTCCCTCATGTTAGTGGCCAACATGACTGATCCTCTCTCAAGTTACTAGCCCACATAATTGATCCCCCTCATGTTAGAGGCCCACATAACTAATCCTACCTCATGTTAGTGGCCCACATAACTGATCCTTCCTCGTGTTAGTGGCCCAAATAACTGATCCCCCCTCATGTTAATGGCCCACATAACTGATCCTCCCTCATGTTAGTGGCCCAAATAACTGATCCTCCCTCATGTTAGTGGCCAACATGACTGATCCTCTCTCATGTTACTAGCCCACATAATTGATCCCCCTCATGTTAGTGGCCCACATAACTCATCCTCCCTCATGTTAGTTGCTCACATGACTGAGCCTCCCTCATGTTAATGGCCCACGTAACTGATCCTCCCTCATGTTAGTGGCCCACATAACTGATCCTCCCTCATGTTAGTTGCTCACATGACTGATCCTCCCTCATGTTAATGGCCCACGTTACTGATCCTCCCTCATGTTAGTGGCCCACAAAACTGATCCTCCCTCAGGTTAGTTGCACACATAACTGATCCTTCCTCATGTTAATGGCCCACGTAACTGATCCTTCCTCATGTTAGTGGCCCAAATAACTGATCCTCCCTCATGTTAATGGCCCACATTACTGATCCTTCCTCATGTTAGTGGCCCAAATAACTGATCCTCCCTCATGTTAGTGGCCTACATAACTCATCCTCCCTCACCTTAGTGGCCCCTAACTGATCCTCCCTCCTATTAGTGGCCCACATAACTGATCCTCCCTCATGTTAGTGGCCCACATAACTGATCCTTCCTCATGTTAATGGCTCACAAAACTGATCCTCCCTCATGTTAGTGGCCCACATAACTGATCCTTCCTCATGTTAATGGCTCACATAACTGATCCTCCCTCATGTTAGTGGCCCCTGTCCTTCCTCATGTTAATGGCCCCGTAACTGATCCTTCCTCATGTTAGTGGCCCAAATAACTGATCCTCCCTCATGTTAATGGCCCACATTGATCCTTCCTCATGTTAGTGGCCCATGCTGATCCTTCCTCATGTTAATGGCTCACATAACTGATCCTTCCTCATGTTAGTGGCCCACATAACTGATCCTTCCTCATGTTAATGGCCCACGTAACTGATCCTTCCTCATGTTAGTGGCCCAAATAACTGATCCTCCCTCATGTTAATGGCCCACATTACTGATCCTTCCTCATGTTAGTGGCCCACATAACTGATCCTTCCTCATGTTAATGGCTCACATAACTGATCCTTCCTCATGTTAGTGGCCCACATAACTGATCCTTCCTCATGTTAATGGCCCACGTAACTGATCCTTCCTCATGTTAGTGGCCCAAATAACTGATCCTCCCTCATGTTAATGGCCCACGTTACTGATCCTCCCTCATGTTAGTGGCCCACATAACTGATCCTCCCTCAGGTTAGTTGCTCACATAACTGATCCTTCCTCATGTTAATGGCCCACGTAACTGATCCTTCCTCATGTTAGTGGCCCAAATAACTGATCCTCCCTCATGTTAATGGCCCACGTAACTGATCCTTCCTCATGTTAGTGGCCCAAATAACTGATCCTCCCTCATGTTAGTGGCCTACATAACTCATCCTCCCTCACCTTAGTGGCCCACATAACTGATCCTCCCTCCTATTAGTGGCCCACATAACTGATCCTCCCTCATGTTAGTGGCCTACATAACTCATCCTCCCTCATGTTAGTGGCCCACATAACTGATCCTTCCTCATGTTAATGGCTCACATAACTGATCCTCCCTCATGTTAGTGGCCTACATAACTCATCCTCCCTCACCTTAGTGGCCCACATAACTGATCCTCCTTCATGTTAGTGGTCAACATAACTGATCCTCCCTCATGTTAGTGGCCCACATAACTGATCCTCCCTCATGTTAGTGGCCAACATAACTGATCCTCCCTCATGTTAATGGCCCACATAACTGACCACACCTCATGTAAGTGGCCCACATATAATGGTCAGACCATATCCCAGTAATGAAGAGTCAGGTGGTGGCGTCTACTGGGACGGACATATACTGAATCAACATATGCACATGGTAGAGTAATGTCCGTTGAAGTGCTTATAAATATTCTGTAGTATAAACTATGCTATTATAAACGTTCTAATCCCTCTTGGTGAGTTGCTGTGGGTGACGGCACCAGTTTACTGCTTGGTCTTTGCCAGTCGTTGGAGCACCTCGGAACCCAAATAGAATTGCAATGCACCATGAGAGTTGGGTCATTCATTTATGAAACTTGGGACAGTTGGAGGCTGTGTTACCTAATGTTTTTGGAAATGTTTACTTCTGTAATGTAACTATTTTCCTTCTTTGTTTTTTCACTCTCTTTCCCTTCGTAAGGTTTAACGCTTTCTTAAACCTGGATATACATAACAAATAGTACAAAAGGTTGAAGTGACATTTATAATATAGTACAGTTTCTAAAAAAAAAAAAATATCTGTTCTTAGTGCAGCTTTCGTCTCTTGTTTTCCTAAATATTAGCCCCGGGGAGTGAGTGCCCTGCCCCATGACGTCATTATCCACTATCTTCCAGGAACCGTCATCACCTCGTATGCCGCAACACTATTTTTTTCACACTCTTCCTCGTTCACCGCCTCATGCTCCCTATTGTGGCTAGTATTGTTCCTGTAGCTAATGCGGTGTTATTGATATCTTTTAGTCATCCTGTGATATATATATATACAGTATATATATATATATATATATATATATATATATATATATATATATATATATATATATATATATATATATATATATATATATATATATATATATATATATATATATATATATATATATATTTTATAAAACTGCCTTCTTCCATTTTATTTACAAGTGTGTGTGCTGAATCTCGTGATTTTTTTTCTTAGGAAACAATAGTTTACACAATACTAAGATACTTTTCTTCAATGACGCTTCTCTCGCAAACGACCTAGTACCCATGTTTCTCTGGTAGGACTCATCCCGCACAGATATGTCTTTCTTTCACTACCTTATTCACAATGTCATCGGTCAAGAAATGATGCAGATGTTCAATGGGTTGTGCATTATCAATAATTATATTTCTAGGTCACACATACACACACACACACACACTTCATGGCTTAAAATTTAGACCAATTTTCAATATCCTCTGATAGATTACAAGTGCGCCGGAAGATTGCAGAATGGAATTACTCCCTTCATTATCACTGATCACTGCAATATACCACCAAACACTCGCATTAAAACACGATAAAACACTCGAGCTTCAGACTTACCACGGACCACACACCACCGAAAACAACAAACTAATATATGTAAAGAAAAATATTAACCCAATGATCAATAACTTCATGAATAAGTGATATAATCTGGCAACTCTCCTATAATATTAATTCTTATGTTTAATTATTCCTACGAGGTTAACAATAGCTAATTAACAACCAAATAAATTGGCACATCTCAAGAATGTAGATAAACTATAAATAATATTCAAAATGTGGTTCAGCATAAATTAGTATAAACCCCAAAATTAACTCATCTAATTAATTTAGAAAGTTAAGGAAAGCAAATTATCTATAACAAGGAATTAGACCAAAGACTATCTTATATAGTCTTTGAATTAGACAAACTCGACCAATTATACCACCACACGGACAATAATATTAACATATATTATAAATATAGTAACAATGTCCTCCACGGAAATAGAAAAAAAAGAATTACATACAAATATTATAGATACAGATGCCAATAACTAAGAATAAAGAAGAGAAACAAAAGACAGAGAAAAAACAAAAACAACATCAGCTGGCAAGAGGAGAAGGACCTATTACCTCAAGATGCCTCCCAAACGACAGGTAAACTGCTATTTTGAATCATTACCTCATTATAAACTACGTCATAGAGTGTATTTATTGCTATTTTTTATGTATGCCAAAGTATTTATCATTTAATATAGCCAGAAGGTAGAAATTTCAGCGAGAGATGAGGGTCAGGGCTGGGCAGTCCCATTTACACCCAACCCCTATGCATTTTTGCCTTTGGACATTAGAGAAAATCTTTGTACCTAAACTGGCTACTGTACCTGATGTGGTTATGTTATGGCTTTTTATAAACATTGCAAGTGCACACAGTAGCTCATACAAATTGAACAAGATTGAACAGGTATCTGCCATATTTGAGTGTACATATAATGCTTAATTTTTGTAGTTTTGTAGTTTTTAAGCTAAAATCGGAGGTAAATTTTTGTCTTTGGACATTAGTCCCAAGGGGTTGACTAATACGTTTATCCAGTGTATTTCGGTGTGTTTTAAGCGAATCTAACCTTCATTTTCGTCGGAAAATGCTCGTTTTTTGCCCCCCCCCCCACCACTGCCCAGCCCTTGGCGTGGGTAGAGCCCTAAATAACATATCAACATATAATCTTGATTTCAAATTCCAACAGTATTAACAACACCTAACATATTAACTTAACACCAACATAGACATGAACCATAAACCCATAAAACATAAGCAAATAACAACAGAATATAATATATACAAATGAAGGGTTTTCTTACTGAAGCGCTCTGGCTGAGGGAAGTCTTGAGACCACTCCACTCACCTTCCCAGAGCTCATCAACTCTGTTCCGGGTTGAGTAACCCAACACTTTGACAAAGCACAAGCAAACAACCTCAAACCACACCGTCACCAATTTTCCCAACAACTTGGCCCTTAATTGGCTGAACATTCCCGCCAGGCTCTGGGACTGGCCGACTGATTGGGTAGTATGGGTTTTATTCAATAGATGGAGTTGTGTACCTGTGTCTTGGCGAATATTGGACATTATTATTAATATTATTATTATTATGACTACCATCACCATTCCCTCACATTATATATATATATATATATATATATATATATATATATATATATATATATATATATATATATATATATATATATATATATATATATATATATATATATATATATATATATATATATATATATATATATATATATATATATATATATATATATATATATATATATATATATATATATATATATATATCTTGAGTAAAAGATCACGGGAAGAGTAAGAGCTGGCGAATTTACCTTGGCACAAGGTAACATTCCAGGGCTAAAATTTCGTTGACTCCATTTTCAATATTGACCTATCAAAGACCCCAACTCTTATCCACGTTTTCATTGTGGATTTACATGAAATATATATATATATATATATATATATATATATTGAGAGAAAGAATGAATTTTGTAATAAACTTATCTATAACCAAATAATCGTTTTCGTTATCACCAGCAGTGATGGATCCAACTTATAATTACACTTATCATGTTCCAAGTACTGCACCTCCCACCTTAGAATATGTCCTACTGTCCAGTTTATAATTATGACCTCAAGATGTCCCTAGAATTGGCCAACTCTTACGTATAGTTTCTTCAAAGTGTTGCGACGTCACTGGCAACACACACACACACTGGGTGACGGAGGGGTGAAGGTCCGTACAATATATAAGCAACGCGAGGTGGCCGAGAAACATTAGGAGCGGAGATCTCAGACAAGCTACCTTACCAGTCTCTATAAACATGGTTTGTTACTTTAGTGTAATTCTTCACGTACACTCAACTGATCCCTCGGCTGACACCCAATTACCTTCCATTATTTTATACATAAAACACTAAATTCATATTGATTCTTTTTTTTATATAGTCATGTGAACATTGATTTCACTTCAGTTACACATAACCTAACTTAACCTAACTAAATCTATCCTCACAGAGTCTTCGAGTGCTGGTTCTGGTGGCGTGTGTGGCGGTGGCATTGGCTCATACCTTACCACCACCGCCACCACCATCGTCCGACTGTACGGCTTTCTGTGTCAACCCAGACCCGTTCCCCGGTGCTCCTGACTATATCTGCTGTGATCGTGAGTACACACTCTTAATTAATACTTGACTTAGATGTGTGAGTTATGTCAGGTGTGTGTTATTGTGATACAGTGATACTTCCATATAACGGACTTCTCTCTCCATATAACGGACTTCTCTCTCCATATAACGAACTTCTCTCTCCATATAATCCGTTAGATGGAGGAGATTTCATATCTAATGGACCCTTCCCTCGATATAATGGTTTTCCTCTCCATGTAGTCCGTTAAATGGAGGTTTCAATGATCTAAAATTTATCCACAGTCCAATAAAAGATGACAGTGAAGACGGTGATGGGGTAAACGTTGTTATGGCTAATATGAAGTAATTTTTTTCACAGCTCATCTTGGTAGATGCCCACTTAAACGCCTAATTTGTCCGTTCGCCGATGTTCTAGTCCCGTCGGTATGTTTTGTCTTGTGAATATGTCTGTCTGATACTCACTGCAAACAATAGTTTAACGGCTGTGTTTATATTTGTCATATTTATTACAAAGAAAAATATTTATTATTTACAGGAGTGCAGCAAGGATTACGAGTGTGAGATCAACGAGAAATGTTGCGAGGACGCTTGTCTGAGTGGCAAGGTGTGCAAGGCAGCCCAATTTTGATCCAAGAAGGACGGTAAACACTCGCTAAACTTTGAAGAAGGAAGCTAAGACTAATGAGAAGCGAGGAATAACGAGAAGAAGCGAGGAATAGAGAAAACGAGGAATAACGTGAAAGGGCGAGGAATGATGAAAAAAGACGAAGAAAAACGAGAAGAATCGAAGAATAATGAAAAAAAACGAAGAGTAGCGAAGCACGTTGCCATTGACTGACCGAAGAAAGAAATGATACAGTAATCATTTACCATATAATTGTTGACCTTTTACACGTTTATTTGTCTTTGTTGGCTTTTTAGGTTAATATTCTATCTCGTTTATTCCATCATCCTACAAATGCCTCTTAACGAAATAAAGAAATAGAACCAAACTCGCCTCTTTGTGTATCCTATACCATCCTACAAACGCCTCTTATCGTAATAGGGAAATAGAAGAGGTCTTTATGTATTCTATTTCATAATTATGGAAGTTGTATCATTACGTAGGGGGTACTGTACCGTCTGTCTTGTTGTTCTGTGTGTCTACTGGTTTGTCATGATGTAGATACCTGTAATACTGACTGTAAATGAATCGTATCATTACTAATTTAACCTAACCTAACAAGACCTGGCCTAGCCTAGCCTACTATAACCTGACCTAAAACCTAACCGAACCTAATTCAACCTATCCTAGCCTAGTCCAATGTAACCTAACCTGAAACCTAATTTAACATAGTCTAATGTAACCTAACCAAACCTAGCCCTGTCTAGCCTAATGTAACCTAGCCTAGCCTAATATAACCTAAGTTAACCTAGCCTAGCCTAATTCAACCTAACCTAAGTTAACATAGCCTCACTTAATGTAGGTATATTAAAGTTATGTTGTGATGGCGAATTAATTACCATAAAGAATACCATTAAAAATTATTATTACCATCAGGCAAAAACAAATAAAACATGATAAAAAAAAAAAATAATAATAATAAAGACGAGAAAGTTATATAGGCCAGTCTGATTATTATTCGGGTAAATTAGTTTAGCATGCTTCTGTCCAAGGTACCCAGAGCTCACCCAGCTGTGGATGGGTACCTAACCTAACCTTACAAGTGGGGAGAGTAAAGGTAGTCAAATGGTGTGTCAGCCATGTTGCCTCCTTGTGTACTGAAGGTTTGGTATACAGTGTGCTGTGTCTCCACCGCCTCTAACTAGATATTATTCTCCTATATTAATAATAATAATAATAATAATAATAAATAATAAATAATAATAATAATAATAATAATAATAATAATAATAATAATAATAATAATAATAATAATAATAATAATAATAATAACGATGATGATGTTGATAATAATAATATTGATAAGGAAGATGTTGGCAATGATAAAAAAATATTATTATTATTATTATTATTATTATTATTATTATTGATGATGATGATGATGATGATGATGATGATGTTGATGATGATGATGTTGTTGTTGTTGTTGTTGTTGTTGTTGTTGTTGTTGTTGTTGTTGTTGTTGTTGTTGTACTATTAATGAATACGATGAAGTCGAAAATAAAGAAGTTCGGTTAGATCAGGTCAAAAACATGGCTCATATACAAACACCAAACAAACACTAAACACAAACAAAACAATCACCAGAACAAACAGACCCAACACCACTCAAACAATAACCAAATACCATTCAATCAATCAGACACACAAACAAACAATAAACAAACACCATACAATCAAACACACACAAACAAACAATAAACAAACAATCGAGACAAATCATCAAAGGTTCATAAGATATTGGAGGAAGAGAACAAACACACTAGGAAAATTTGACAAAGGTGTTGTGAGTCTCGTGAGAACCAGTTTATGGGTGCACCACGCTGAGGTTAAGCCAAGGATGAACGTAGAGCACCGTTAGTACCAGAGTTGAACACCAGGGGAGCTCTCGTTCATTCAAGCTGGATTTAGTTTGTGTGTGTATGTGTGTCTGTTTGATTGGTGAAATGCGTCTAGAGTACAAGCACTGCTTGCTCACTCTCGCTTTCAGCTGCCACCGCTGGCTAGCTCTCGTGGCGACCAGGCAAGCAACTTGCATAAGTCCTCCCCTGCCAGTACACAGCCTCCTCACCATCAAGACAACACACGGTAACTGGGTGCCTCGTGGGCCCAGGCTAGATCAGCAGGGGATCTCGGAGTAGCAGTGGGCCCCAGAGGGACGGCGCATAGACCCACTGGCATGTGGACACGTCCTGGCGCCTACCAACCACCGCCCCGCTGCCTTGCGGATTAGCCTTGGCAGGTATAAGACTACGAGAGCGCCCGTATTATTAAACAACATCTTCCCTTGAATGGGGTCGTCTTGTTTCAACCCGAGTTTTAAACTATATGAGTCCTGAGGGACACCGCAGTACAGTAGTTAACGAGGGGGGGGGGTTGTGGCGGTAAAATTAACTAATTCCAATATTATAAATTAATTTTATTGGAATTAGTTAATTTTACCGCCTATACCCCCCAAAAGTCCTATGGCGATGGACGATTGGCGATGGAGACAGGCAGAGATGACTACCGGGAGTCTCGAGTCACAAATATGCTCATGAGCAGCACAGATAAGATGGGCGTTTATGCACTGGGATCTACGCAACAGTGCAATCCGGTCCTGTCTGTGCGATTGAGCAGGCCTTTCGGGGAGCCACTCTGCTCACCCCACATGGGGAGGGGGGTAGAAAAGGTGCCCTAAACATAGCCTGCCTGCCTAAAAACCCAACCTGACTGGGCAACCGCACCCAGTAAGGTCATCCTTATGCAGTCGAAAATAAAACCAAAATCACAGATCCGCCCCCTCCCCCCAAAAAAAAAAACATACTCTTGTGGTCGCTGCATGGAATGTCAGGACCCTACTGGATACTGGCACAAATGAGCGTCCTGAAAGAAGAACCGCCCTTGTGGTAAAAGAGCTGGCTAGGTATAACATTGACATAGCAGCCCTCAGTGATTCCCGGCTCCAAGATGAAGGCCAACTCACAGAACGGGGGTCTGGCTACACCTTCTTCTGGAAGGGTAACCCTGCTGCGCAAAAGAAACAGCATTTATAGAGTTAGCTTTGCTATCCGCCAACGCATCCTACACAGGCTAACTGAAATGCCTATTGGGATCAACGAGCGCCCCATGACGCTTCGAGTCCCACTGAATCACTCACGTCATGCCTTCTTCATCAGTGCATACGCCCAACCACTGGATGCAGAGGATGACATCAAGGAGGCCTTTTACACCGAATTCGACAGAGTGCTAACCTATATCCCCAGAGAAGACAAGGCTGTGCTCCTTGGCGACTTCAATGCCAGAGTTGGCAGAGATGCTAACATTTGGCAGGGAACCACAGGGAGAAATGGACTTGGCAAGTGTAATTCCAACGGCCTACTCTTCCTTAGCAAGTATGGTGCACATAACCTCACTATCACCAACACCTTGTTTAGGCAGGCCAACAAGGTCAAGGTTTCGTGGCAACACCCACGATCCAAACACCTGCAGAGAGACCCTCTGCCAGATCAAAAGAATACACCAGGACTGGTTTGATGGAAATGACCCAGCAATCAAAGTACTCATCGATGATAAACGTGCTGCTTTAACTGACTGGCAGAACAACCCTCAGTCTCGGATCAAAGCTGATAACCTTCAGCAAGAAGAAATCGGCAGCCCAGCGGGAACTGAGTGGCTGTTGTAAATCTGTCTGATTTCGTCCTGAAGTAATGATGCATTTCTAAATGAGTCTATTCATAATCGTTGGGTTGACCGTTTCTAACGAGAAAGATATTTAGATAAATTATATAAAGATACATACAGTCATTATTTCAAACATACGTAAGTCCGTAGGAAGTTTATCAGAAGTATTATACAGGAGTTAACTGTTAAACTCTGGTAGCAAATTCACCGACAGAGTTGTTCACAGATGTTGCACATGTGGAGGGCTACATCTAGTGCGGGAGGGGCGCCGGCAGCGTCTTTCCGGTGTCTACCTCGATTTGCAGTCGGGCTAACTCGAAAGTATTGACACCTTCTCGTGTGTTGCTCCTCCAAGCGTTACCATGTAGAGTAATCGTCTCCCAGGTGAGGGGGTCGATTTGGCACTTTTTCATGTTTGTCTTAAGACTATCCTTATCCCTTTTCAGTTGCCCGCCGGCGTTACGTTTACTATTCGTTAGGTGACTGTAAAGTAGCTGCTTTGGCAGTGTACTGTTGTTCATGCAGGTAACATGGCCAGTCCAGCGTAGTTGTTCATGGATAATGGTAGCCTCGATGCTCCTACAGTTGGTGTCAGCAAGGATGCTGGCACACACACACACACGCACGCACACACACACACACACACACACACACACACACACTCTATGAATGTAATTTATACTGTATAATTATATGGACTGGACAAGATATAAATACCTCATCATGAATCTACCATACTTAATTACAGCATATAAACTTCATCTTAAAATAAACCCCCACTTCACCTTAAAATAAACCCCCCACTTCACCTTAAAATAAACCCCCACTTCACCTTAAAATAAACCCCCACTTCACCTTAAAAATAAACCCCCACTTCACCTTAAAATAAACTCCCACTTCACCTTAAAATAAACCCCCACTTTTCCTGAAAATAAACCCCCACTTCACCTTAAAATAAACCCCACTTTTCCCCCACTTCACCTTAAAATACCCCCACTTCACCTTAAAATAAACCCACTTCATCTGAAAATAAACCCCCACTTCACCTTAAAACAAACCCCTACTTCGCCTTAAAATAAACCCCACTTCATCTTAAAATAAACCCCCACTTCACCTTAAAACAAACCCCCACTTCACCTTAAAATAAACCCCCACTTCACCTTAAAATAAACCCCCTACTTCACCTTAAAACAAACCCCCTACTTCACCTTAAAACAAACCCCACTTCACCTTAGCCCAACTTGCCTTGCGTCCTCCGCCACTCCCGCTCGCGTTTTATGAGACTACTGTAATACTGTACTCTATTTCCCATACTTCTGTGAGCCTTTCTTGCCCTAAAAAAACCCTAAATAATCTGAACTATCCCCTAAAACAAACTTAACCACCCAAATTAAATTAGGTATATAAAGGAGTTTTTTTAATATTCTGTTATGGCGTTTCTCGATTACAGGATCCGGAATTTATTCAAGTCATTTCACCCCTTAAACCAAAAAGTATTGAAAGTTAAAAGCGAATGGAATTTTTTTTCGCTTTTTTATCATTTTGGGTGTTAGTTTTTGTTCACTGGAAAATTGTCTGGTTAGATTTTGTCCACTGGGGAATTGGCTAGTTATATTTTGTCCACTGGGAAATTACCTGGTTAGATTTTATTTAGGAGACAAAGTG